CAAATATTGGGGTGTAGCTTCCTCGCTGGCTTGAAAACAACGAGCACTAAGTGCAGTCTTTGAAGAAGCTGCACATATAGCACGCATGCATGAGCCGGAGCAGCGGCACACAGGGCGCGGGGCGGCGGGGGGTATGACGTCACACATCAGCGTCTGCCCGGGCCGATCCCCCCGATCGCAGATAAATACGGTGGGAGCACTAATGCCGATAAGAACTCTGATTGCAATTAATAAACTTTATTGCCGTTCAAATGGTTCGGAAACAAAGCCGATTTGTTGGCTTTGATGGCATTAGTCTTAAGAAGCCGAGCGTGCGGCCGTCTCATTAGCTGTATCTACGGGAGTTGCTGCGGGCGAAGGCTGAGCGAGAGAGTGGCACACGCTGCACGCGCGTAGCCGCAGGGGCCGCTGCCACATCGGCCACTAACTCACAGACAAACCGATAATGCACCGCCAGTGCGCACTTTTATTGGACTCATATTTGCCCGTTTATCACGTTCTCCTTATTACCGTAATTTGGTCTTGTTAGCGGGATATCGAGCGCGCGTTCGGCCGCGTGGGTGCGCTAGTTTAACTCACACAGGTGATCGTGGCTTGATTAGCACGACCGTACGAACTCTCTGCACGCGGGATAAGCCCACTTACCCCTCACTAATCAGCTATTACGCTCAATCAAACCTAACTTCCCCGCGTACTTCCTTTCATGCGGATCAGTCGAATCCGCGGAGGTTTTTCTGGCGTAAAGCGCGTAAGGACCAATTTGACGACAGTAAAAACTCATTACTGTGGGCGGCGGCCATTTTGGATTTAGCAGCGGCGTCGGAGTGTTTCTCGGCGGGACGGGTGGCGGCGAAACCCCACTGGTCACGGAAAACTCTAGTCTGTCAACATGCTTTTAGTGCTTTCTACTCGCAGTAATGCGAACCGAATTATGTCGTGTATTACTTCAAAACATTTTGTTCGATTGCAATAATAGAAGCTGTTTTGACTAGGGTCGCTTATCAACATACGAAACACGATAATGCACCGTTGCTATAAGATGCACGCACGCGACTCTCTCTCTCTCTCTCGCTCTCTCTTGCCGCTACTTTACATGATAGATAACTAATCATCGAAACAATCTCGTCTGCCATTAGTTTTCGCCTTTCATTGCGCCGCTCCTTTTTTTTAAATGCAATATTAATTATGATGAACAGCAACTTGAATTAAATTGCGTATAAAAGCAAAGCGAGCGGTAATATGTAACAGTTCGGCTTAATTGTTTCTCGTTTGTGATTGAGCTTACAGACGCGAGCGTGATGTGGGTGGGTTGGTGGGTGGGTGGGGGACTCGTCGCTACAGCTGCGATAGCACGGACGCTTTGCACTAAACTTACCAAGCAATGTGACTTATTGTTTGCAAAGTAGCAGACAGACAGAGAGAGAGAGAGAGAGATAGAGAGAGAGAGAGAGAGAGAGAGAGAGAGAGAGAGAGAGAGAGAGAGAGAGAGAGAGAGAGAGAGAGAGAGAGAGAGAGAGAGAGAGAGAGAGAGTAGTAGTAGTACGTACGTACGTACGTACGTACGTAGTACGTACGTACGTACGTTACGTAGTTACGTTACGTACGTTAGTACGTTACGTAGTACGT